AGAGAGACAGCCTTGGTGGACAAGGCATTTTTAAAAATATAAAGGTTATCAAAAGAGTTTTAGAGCATCATTACTAGTTTATGACCCTCTAAAAAAAAGAAGGTGGCAACAGGTAGAAAATAACCCACCCTGGCCAGTGTGGCTCAGTGGACAGAGCATCAGCCCATGCACCAAAGGGTTGCAGGTTTGATTCCCATCAAGGGCACATACCTGGGTTGCAGGTTTGATCCTTGGCCCTGGTTGGGGTGCGTGTGGGAGGCAACCAAATGATGTCTCTTTCACATAGATGTTTCTCTCTCCCCCCAGCCCCCTCACTTCCACTCTCTCTAAAAAAGAAATCAATGGAAAAATATCCTCGGGTGAGGATTAAAAAAAGAGAGAAAATAAGAGCCAATATATTTGGTTTTAGCTAAATATTGACATTTTGAAAATTTATATGAAGCACAATGGATTTGATTTTTTTTTGGGGGGGGGGTGGATGGGGAGAGGGGAGAAAGACTAAACAATCCTATATGTAATCCCTAATAAATACATTTTACACTTCATTGCATTTTAGAAATAAAATGTTCTTTTCTTTCCAGGGGAACTGAGGATAGTTCCTTATTACTAGAGTATTCAAGGAGAAGAATGATTAGAGATGAGGTTAAAGGGATAAAGCTCACAATACTATACTTGCTTTTTATAATAAAATATAGTAACATTTTTATTTATCCTTATTAAATTTCATCACTCTACAGATATTTCCAGTCTATTAAAATTTTTAAGTCTCATTTTGACATTGAACCTACCTGATATTTGTTAAAGTGGTGCATTATTTGCATTCTCTGAATCTGCACTATCTGTAAATACAGCTTTATCCGAATGAAAGCTCCGAGTAAACCTTGAGGCATATTACTAAAAATCTATTTATCAGCAGGCTTTCTGAAACTAGTTCAACAAAACACCAAATATATCTAATTGCCCTATATCCAATATTTATTATTCTATAACCCATATTATGACAGATTGTCTCAAATATATTATACACCCACTGTTTATTGGTCTGCCAAAATAAGCACTATGTATCTGTTGAAATGAATTCATATGAATACTAATCACACCAAAAAATTAAACATACATGACTTGTAGCCATGTAGCAGCTTATAATTTTACCACTTTCTCTTCTGGGTAGGGAAAAATGAGTTCTAATATAATCTATACTAAGTTCCAGTCAAACTTTAACTTTTCTGGTTTGTAGAATCAATCATTTTTTTTAATGTGGTAATATATATATATATATATATATATATATATATATAATTTTACCATTTTAAGTATTAAATTCAGTACATAAAGTACATTTACAGTGTTGTGCAACCATCACTACTATCTATTTCCAGAACTTTTGTTGTCCTCTTTACCCCAGTGCCTAAAACTATTATTCTACTGTTTGTCTGTATGAATTTGACTATTCTAGGTACCACTTATAAGATAAAGTACATTTACAGTGTTGTGCAACCATCACTACTATCTATTTCCAGAACTTTTGTTGTCCTCTTTACCCCAGTGCCTAAAACTATTATTCTACTGTTTGTCTGTATGAATTTGACTATTCTAGGTACCACTTATAAGTGGAATCGTCATAGGAAAATCCAATAGTTGTTTATTTGTTTATGGCTTATTTCACTTAATGTTTTCAAGGTTTGTTCATGCTGCAACATGTATTGCAACTACATTCCTTTTTAAGTTTAGATAATATATTCCATTGTATGTACAGTGACTCTTGAATAACATGGGAGTTAGGGGCACCAGACCCCCATGCAGTTGAAAATCTTTGTATAACTTTTGACTTCCCCAAAACTTAACTAAATTACTAATAGCCTATTGTTGACCAGAAGCTTTACTGATAACATTAACAGTTGATTAACACATATTTTGTATATGATGTTTTATATACTGCATTCTTACAATAAATGAAGCTAGAGAAAAGAAAATGCTATTAAGAAAATCATAAGACAAAATACATTTGCAGCACTGTTCATATTTATTGAAAAAAACCCCTGTATATAAGTGGACCTGCACAGTTCAAACCCATGTTGCTCAAGAATCAACTGTATATACCAAATTTTGTTTATTCATCTAATGAGGAACAACATTTGGATTGTTTCTAACTTTTGATTATTGTGAATAATGCTGCCATAAACATTAGTATTTGAACCCCTGTTTTCAGGTATTTGGGGTATAAAGTAGAAATGGACTGGCTGGATCAAATAGAATAAATCTATGTTTAACTTTTTGAGGAACCACTAAATTGTTTTCCTGCAGTTTTTCAATTCCCACCATCAATGCACAAGGGTTCTAATTTCTACATATCCTGTTAACATTTATTTTTCCATATTTTTGGTACTAGTCATCCTCCTGGGTGCCAAGTGGTATCTTATTTTGGCTTTCATATACATATCTCTAATGATTAGTGATGGTGAGCATCTTTTATGTGCTTGCTAGATATCTTCTTTGGAGAAATGTTTACTAAGTTCTTTGATCATTTTGGAATTGGGTTGATTATTTTCTTGTTGTTAAGACATATGTTCTGGATATTAATTCCTTATCAGATGTATTATTTATAAACCTTTCCTTCCATTCCATGGATTGTCTTTTTCACTTTCTTAGAAGTGTTCTTTGCCCAGCTGGTGTGGCTCAGTGGTGCAACATTATCACCTATGAACTAGGAGGTCACGGTCAGGACAAATGCCTGGGTTGTGGGCTCAATCCCCAGTCGGGTGCGTGCAGGAGGCAGCCGATGAATGATTCTCTCTCACCATTGATGTTTTTCTCTTTTTCTCTCTCTCTCCCTTCCCTTCTGAAATAAATAAAAATATATAGACATAAAAAGGAAGTGTCCTCTGATGCACAAACAATTTAATTTTGATGAAGTCGAATTACTTTTTCTGTTGTTGTCTGTGCATTTGGAGTCATTTTTTTTTTTTAAAGTAAAGACCATTTTTATATCATCAGCATTTTCTGCAAACCTAATCATTTTGGGGCTTCTATTCTTTTCTATTTTCGTATATCTCTGTCAAACTTTTAGCACTGTTTCCTGGTTTTAGAAATGCTTTCTATCTTTTCTTTTCTTTCTTTCTTTTTTTTTTTTTTTTTGCCTGTGTTTAATAAATGGAAGCTCTTATTAAAGTTTTCTGTGTGCTCTGTAATGTTTTCTTAAGATTCCTCCCATTTTCTTCCTAATTAAGGTCAGTTGAGATTATAAAGTCAGAGTTGAATTTTTGATTGTTTTCAAACCTCTCAAGTTGTCTTTACATCTGAAGTCTGATTCTTTGGAATCATATTTATCTTTTTAAAAGGTTTTTACAAGTTTGTCTTCTTAAAGTCTAGAGACTCTAGTCTAGAGCATCTATTTAAGTATTGCCAGTCTGATCTTTTCTGACTATAAAGAGCTGGTCTGGCTCAGTGGATAGAGCGTCCGCCTGCGGACCAAAGGGTCCCAGGTTCGATTCCGGTCAAGGGCACATGCCCGGGGTTGCCAGCTCGATCCCCAGTAGGGGGCGTGCAGGAGGCAGCCAATGAATGATTCTCTCTCATCATTGATGTTTCTATCTCGCTCTTCCTCTCCCTTCCTCTCTGAAAGCAATAAAAAAAAAAAAAAGAATTCAGAAAAAAAAAGAAGTCAGAGCATCAATTTCTCCCCAAATTCTCAGACTACCATATTGATGACCAATTCTTTTATGTTATTTAAAGGGCTAGAGTAGCGCTTTTCCTAGTTACTTCCTGTACCCTTCAGAAAATAAAACTGGCAATAAGGAAAATCTAAAAGATATATTTTAGTCAAATGAGACTTCTAGGAGATACATAGGAATTTAAAGCTTTTACCATTACTTCTTGCCATTAAGTTAGTTTGTAAATCATCAAGAATGTAGCATTTCCTTTGACTTGTTAGTGCTTTTAAAGATATTCATACCATATTCTTACTAGAAATCATCCAGGTTGATTTCATTAATTATTTCCAGGTTAAATTTGATGTTATTCTAGGAAGACAACACAGTGATCTCATTTAGATACAAAATCAGTGAACACAACCAAACTATGTTAGAACCATGGAATTAGAATTAGAATAGACTTCTGGTATAATTAAGAACATGTTTACTTTACATATAAAGACCCCAAGATTCATGAAATTTAAGTAATACTGCCCAGGTCAAATGAAGATACACTAAAGTTCTCTTTTTTCCCTATTTCCTGGATTATTAAAGTATACAGGTTAGACAAAAGCTCTAAATCTAAATGAGAAAAAAATTATTTTCCACTAATTTAGAATTAAAGTATATTCTTGATAAAAAGAAAAGGCTGCAAAAGTTCAAATACAACTCCATTCATCACCATCAAATATAACATATAAATATTAGCAAAAATGATACTATTAATAAAGAGATTTAATACAAATTATAACATATAAACATTTACTCATAATTTATTAAATTAGAGTCACACTTTGAAGAGCTACTTAACTTCATAAAACCTTTATTTTAAACTAGATGTCTCTTACCTTAATCCATGAAAATTTCAGAGGAAAACATTATTTTACTGGTCAGAAAACAAATTAGTTTATGTCAAGGGCTCAGGATGGGGAGAAGAGTTGACTAAAAGGGGTAGTGATGAAAGTGGTTTTTATCTTGACTGTGGTCATGGTTATACGTCAGGTTTATTGCATTTGCAAAAGCTCATAGAAATGTATGGTAAAAAGAGTGAATTTTACTATATGTAAATTATAAACTTCAATAACCTACCCCTTTAAAAACAGGTTTTTTTACTATTTAAGAAATTAACATATACTGAAGGAAATACTGGAAATACCGAATTAATGTTCCAAACTTAGGCAGTTCTATTGTATAATTCTCAAATATATGTATGTAAATGTTTCGGTTTTTATTTATATAATTTCTAAACTTATACACAAACCAGAAACCAAAAAGCACAGGCACTTAAAAAAAGGAAAAAGAGTAACTCACTGTCTCATTTCCAAAAAGTATGTCAACATAAGGCATAATTTTCATCAATGGTTCCTTGTAGAACTGACTAATAAATGGTGCAGACAGGTTCAAAGTGAAAATTCTGTTGTTCGCAGAAGCATGCTGAGCCACTTTTAACACCGACTCTGGAGAAACGGTAAGAAAAAAGCCCTGGGTAAAGAAAAAAAAGAAGGAAAAATTAGAAATGCAATCTCCCCAGTCACTCTCAGTGAGAATAAAAGAAACCTATATAAAATACAAAAAGCCCATATAATACACACTTTAAAATACAGTAAAAAATGCAAGGCAGAAAACAGCAGCATTTGATCAGGAGAAAAGTTTATTATATGAGTACTGTATGTTTGATATGTGCCATTACGTCAGAGTATAACATTACTTATTTCATATTAGATTTGTATACTCAACACTAAAGAATTTCTGGCTATCTACATAAGAAAAAATATTTGAAAGGTCTCATTCAAGACAATAATTACATTTAAATCAGAGAAATAGTAATGAAGGCAGATTGGATCCCTCAAGCTTCTTAGAGACACTTCATATTCTTGTAAACGTAACATGATATTTATTTAAAGATTAAATTAGTTTATTAAGATCATAGTTTGTTACCTTATTAATATCTAAACTGATTTTTTAAAGGAAGATCTGAATTAAAAATATTTTAATTAAAATTTCATGTCAGGAAAGCTATATTTTAAAATGCTATATATCGATGTCTGACACATTAGTAAAAGTCTTTAAAATATATCTACGCATTTTAGATGAAGAAAGCATAAGCAAAGATGTGGATGCTTATATAGGAAATTGGTTTGAATGGGGAACAAGTGCATGGAGGAATAAATAACGGGCAATAGATGATAAAGCTGGATAGGCCATCCAGGTGAACAACACAAAGGGCCTGGAGGGGCAGATTAGGAGACTGTTAGGTGGGGTGGGAAAGGATCGTGGATAATAAAGTTTCCCTTGAAAGAATGGAATAACAAACTTGTAAGAAAATTTAAAGAAATGTTAATGTGGACAGCAAAAATTTAGCAACAGTCAATCAAAGCTACATTTAGTTCTGCAAAAGGTAATCATCCTGGGAACATTCTGCACTTCCAATTGTTTAAGATGTAAGGGACAAAGGAAAAGTCAGAAGATGACTGAGATTTTGAATACGGTTCTACCATTAATAGAAATAAAAACGTCCAGAATAAGACCTGGTTTAGATGGAAATAAAGAGTGTTTAGTTGTGTTTATACTCTCTTTGTGGTGTTAAGGGACCCCCCCTAATATATATGAGAAAGTTGGACTCAGGAGAAAGGCTCTGGACGGTGATAGTAAAGAGGGTTGTAATTACCAAGGAAGAGAATGGAGAAAAAGAAGAGGACAAACCACAGAATGGAGAAGAACAAAAATTAGGGGATAGAAGAAAAAAGTAAAGGAGAGAACAAGAGGACAATAAAGGGGGGAAAGGAGACAAATGAGGACAGTAAAAGTGATGAAAGAAAAATCGAACAAGGGAAACCTCTAGAAGAGAGTTAAAGATACGCAATGCGATTAATGGGTAGAGAAAGGACTGAGCAAAAGCTACAGGATTTGATGTAAAAGCCACAGGAGAATGTACTTATGTTACGAAGGTACAAAGAGATACTTGTTAAAGAAGGAATGAGAAAGTAAAGAGTAAGGATTATAAATTATTTTGGGAGATTTATTGGTGAATAATATAAAATCACCTGAAATTTACTGAATTATTGTGTTCCAAATACTATACTAAAAGTTTTATGTATATTAACTCAGTTATTACCATTTTTTCCTTACATCAAACCCACGAGGTGGATACTATTACTATTCTCATTTTATGAATAAAGATGGCAAGATAGGAAAGTTAAGAAATGTCCCTTAGGTCATAGTTTATATGTGATGGAGCTTGGTTGGATTGAAATGACTGCGAAGATAATGCTCCTAGTTTGAACAGACAATAAAGAAGAAAAGAGCAGGAAGATATTTTTAGTGGGGATAAGGGGTGGGAGAGTTGTTTTAATAAAATAAACAAAATAAAGTTTGAGCATTTTTGCTCTTCAATGAAAAGGAACTAGTGGAGAAAAAGAATGAAGAAGCAAGAGAGGGAGAATAATTAGAGCACGAAACCAGAGGAAGTGAGGGAACCAGAAGGGGAGAAGAGCAGCTTATAAATTGAAGAGTAACCTAGAAAATGTGAAGGAAACTTATTTTAAAAGTTACCAACAAAGCTATTGAAATATTCATTTACAACTAAGGGACTAAGCACTTCTATCATGCCAACTTTAGAAAGTTTAAAAAGAAAAAAAAGATGTTTTTCTTTTTTGTATTTATTTTTTAAATCTTTATTGTTGAAAGTATTACATAAGTCCTCCTTTTGCCCCCATTAACCTCTTCCAGTCCGCTCCCATCCCCCTCCTCCCAGGCCCTCACCACCCCGTTCTGTGTCCACAGGTTATGCATATATGCATACAAGTTCATTGGTTGATCTCTTCCCACCCACCCTCCCCTGCCTTCCCTCTGAGGTTCAACAGTCTGTTGATTTGTTGATGCATCCAGTGTGGAAAACAGCAGATGAGTGGATAAAAAGCCCACTACATGGGAGAACATATTTGCCAATGATTGGTTCATGCATGAATTTCGTGCACTGGGCCACTAGTTTTTTCATATGTCTCTTGGCTTTCTATATGTTCACTTTGGAGAAGTATCAATTTAGGTCCTTTGCCCATTTTTTAAATTGGATTGTTTGTCTTCCTTTTGCTAAGTTGTATGAGTTCCCTATATTTTTTGGAGATTAACCCCTTATTGGATCAATCATTGGCAAATATGTTCTCCCATGTAGTGGGCTCTCTTGTCATTTTGTTGATGTGTTTTTTTTTTTTTTTGGTTTGGTTTGGTTTTTGGCAGTGCAGAGGCTTTTTATTTTAATGCAGTTTCATTTGTTTATATTCGCCTTAGTTTCCATTGCCCTAGGACAGTGGTCGGCAAACTCATTAGTCAACAGCGCCAAATATCAACAGTACAACGATTGAAATTTCTTTTGAGAGCCAAATTTTTTAAACTTAAACTATATAGGTAGGTACATTCAA